ATTCTATAATCAATGCTAATACATAATAAATAATACACTTTTTCGTTGAAATGTTCGAACCCTTACTTCTCCTAAGATTATAACACTGTATAATATTTTATTAGTTTATGACAATAGCATATTATAATTTTTTAAATATAATGTTTTACTTATACAAATTATAATAATATTTTAGAAGTTTAAAGAATAACTAGCCATTTTATGTCGAACTTCAATTCAACATTAACAAGCTCTGTAAAAATGAATTCTAAACAAACCATTATAACTTAAAAAATGTATTTTTCATTAAGTTTCAAGTTCATCGGTAACTTTTATATGCACCTACATAAATATTAATATAGATAAAAATAAATTGTATGTTTTCTTGACTCAGTAATTAATCATAACAACTTTTTTTTTTTAATAACTAATTTCAACAACACTGAACACTTGTGATTTCATACTTACTTTATAATACATACAAAATATATAAATAATAGTATACATATAAGTACTACAGTTAATTATTATTTTTAAATAAGTGTTCTTTTCAGTAAAGTTACATATCAGATAAAACAATAACAAAGATATTAAAAAAGTAATCAAATAAAAAAATTATTATTAACAACATAATAAAAAAGAAAATAGTAAATTATTTTAAAATTATGCAACTTAAAGGCTCTTAAAACTCTTAAATACCTTACTTTATTACATAGTTAACAACAAATAAATACTTTAGTTTATAAAAATGAGATATATTAGAAGATAAATTAGAAAACATTTTAAAATTATACAACTCAACAGCTCTTAAAACTCTTAAATACCTACCATACTTAAATACATACAGTTAAGAAGAAATAAATACATTTTTTATAAAAAAGAGAAATATTAATATAAATTGTTAGTGTTGTGTAAAACTATATGCTCTTTAGTTACTTCAAATTGAGTGCAAATTACACCTTTATCTTAAAATGAAGATCTTATGATAGCAACTTCATTTAATGCATTATCACCAATCTTATTTCTCTTTTTAATTTTAATTTCATTTACAATAGAGAATATTCTCTCAGCTTCAACATTTGAATGCAGCAATGTTAGCACTAACTGTACTAATTTAGACATGTTTGGAAATAAAATACCTTCTTCAACACAATTTGCCTAAAATATAAAACTTACTGTTAAGTACATTCAAATGTTATATTCATTATTTTTACATTTTTATTTTTTAATACTATATTATTTACATAAATAAAATCTAATTTTTAATCTGATACATATTTATCTTTTTCCACATTTCAAGTAAAGGAAATTTTGATAATTGTTGAACTACTTCACTACTTAAATTGCACGGCAAACTTCTCCATTCTTCTTCGACTTTAAAAGTAGGTATCTATGTACCATGAAAATGTATTGTTAGGAATAGAAAACCATTCATAATTTGAATGATCGTTCAGGTAAAGCACAATGTGGGGATTCAAAAATTACATTTCTTTGAATATGTTATTTTCAAAAGGAAGAAGCAGTACCATTTCTTCTGCAGTCTTTAGATAAAATTGAAAACAGTTTTTTTTAAATTCTAAAATAATGTCCTTATCATTTTCAATTCAGATTGACATTTTACTCCAACAAAAACTTCATCATAAGATAAATAATTATTTTTGTCAGTAAAATTGCTTTCATGTAAATAGTCATTGATTAAATGTGGCTTGACAAAATTTTGAAATATATTTTTAAGAAGACAAATAGAATTGTTTTACAGTAATTTAATTGAAATACTGCGACTTCGAAAAAGAGCATTAAATTTATTAAAATAATTTAAAGCGTATTTCAAGAAATAAAAGTAACATTTTATAATTCTATTATTGAGATCATTTAGTATGATTTCGCTTGATTTTAATTTATCTTCTTGAATAGCAACTACAAAATAATGTTGTAAGCCTGTCCAACATTCTAACAGTCGAACAACACACAAGTGCAAAGCCAACCAACGTGTATCTGCAAGTTTTAAAATTTTTACTTATGGCCATCGAAGTATTCTATTAGTTGAGCACAGCGTTTGGTGCTGCCTGATACACAGCGCCGGCGGAAGGGCAGGGCAGAAGGGGCAGCTGCACAGGGCCCCGCCATTTTAGGGGCCCCGCGCCTAAAATGGCATGTAATAATTTGTAATACTATAAATTTGTTTTTAATATTAAAAATACAAATCCCATCTGTAGTGGTGCCTGGGTTTTAAATGAAATGCATATCAAAAAAAAAAAAAAAATGTAACCAATATATTATATTACGAATAATTTTATGAATATTTAATTATAATTTCGATAGAAATCAGAAATGCGATTGTTGTTTTAAATTTACGATAATGATTGATGAATATTATCAGCTTATATAATAATACGCGTGAGAGTAAAAATAAATTATAAGACTGACTAATAACGGCAACGGCGACGTCTAAAATAATTCGCTGAAAACAATGTAATTTATTATGTGTACATCAATTCCAATAATTCCATTATAACCCAGGTTGCGTGTTTTTCTTTCCGAAAATACGTATAGTTTATCGTATTATTATTCATTTATAGTTGAAGAATGATTGTGTACTCCTTATCTTGTATGTGATGGGTGTCCGCATGACCACAAAAACACAATCGGAGTGCACTTTCTGTTGTCATTTCATTTTTGAGTATTAGACAACTTATATTGGACTGTCTAGTTGTGCGATAACGAATCAATCCTCGACGTACTCTTGTTACGATTATATATGTATTTAACATTGTTTATCGAAAATCGCTCACAACTAGGTTTGTAAAATATATTATTTCTAAATAATTAAAAAAGAAAAAAACAATTTTGATGTTAAAATGTTGAATTTTTTTTAATTTTTGTGTAGTTAACTTGAATTAATTGTACCTTAATATTTGATCTATACATATTTTATTTTAATACGAAAAATGTATCTGTGCATAAGCAAAAAAATATTTATAGTTTTAAAAAATAAATCCAAATTGAAAATTGTACGTTTAATATACTTTGTTTAATTGTGTACATAAAAAATAAAATATTTTTTAGAGGTTATGTAAAATAGAAAAAAAATGTATTTTTCTTCCTTAATTTGTATAGGGCCCATGAAAAAAATCTGCCCTGGGCCCCGCAAAATCTCCCGCCGGCATTGCTGATACATATAAAGCGACTGAACGGATCAGATCTTCAGCAGATCTTGGTAGCATTTTACATGATTTGTTAGCAATTAGAGCAGATGAATGACCAACACAGCGCATTAGTATTCATGTAATCATGTAATTATTTTTTAAATACACATTATCCAACAATCCAAGCTTATCAGTATGTGAATAGTCCAATGCACCATGGTTTTTCGCTAACATGACTATCTACCATGACCAAAAAAATCTCAAACGTCAATGGAACCACTAAAACGTTATGCAAAATATTTCAAACAAGACCATCATAATCCACTCGTCGTTCAATGGGGCGGACTCGAAAATCATACCAGTTGCTCGAAACGGAACTGATCCAAAGATATTCTGTAAATTAACCAAATCAAACTTTAAGGCAATCCTGGTTTCGCATCCTCGTGGTTCATGGGTTCGAAAAAAAAATAACTATTCATCTAGAAATATTGTCTAGAAACTACACATTATCTTACAGCACTTGCGCCGAGTCTCTCCCGAGATTTTTGCGTGTAGCAGCGTGTAATCAGGTTTTAAATAGGTTCATAATGCAAAAAAGAAAAAAAAAACGAATAGCATTGACGATCAAAATACGCGAGTGCATCGTGGTCGTTGGTGGGCAGAGCCGGATTGTAGTCATAAAACATTCAAGGGGGCTCTTTCAACCAAAATAATTTCATTTTTTTATTCAGATTTAGTAATTTGTTATAGATATTAATTGAAACAAGTATAGTTTATTTGTGCATTTTAGTTTGACAGTTGACTGATATTACAGTACTTTGTATTTGTTAACCAGCGAATATAAAACACATTTGTAGTCATTTTCGACTTACACCTGGGTCTATAACCGTTCCCCTCTTGACCCACCACTGCTCGGATCCGTTCGAATTTGACTTATCGCGTAGGTTACGATGAGACTCGTCGAACTCGTTTGTTCGTTCGCGGGCGAGCCGTGTGTGTGTCGATCAGAAACGACGGTGCCACCGCATGCGATCCTGGTACTCGCGTGTCCGCGATGTAACACGTGCACATTTCTTACACGCACGGCGAATATAAAATATACATACATAATATACATAATATACAAATATAAATAAACATCATCGGCAAAGAAGTTGTTGAAGAACCTATGTCTGTGTCGTGTCGCACTATTTCTGATCTACGTAATAATTATTACTGTGTATGAACGGTTCTGGAAAAAAAATCGGGTGTATTTGCAACGAAAATGAACGCAAATAAAAAATAAGAATTTGTAATCTACGACGGGTTTATATACAGGGTGTTTCTGAAATTGGTGAGGGCGTTAGAGTCCTATATGTCCTTTATTCCTCACTGTGATGGTCCAAAGATTTTTTTGTAAAAATATTTTCAGTTTTTAATTTTATTTTTAATTTACCATAAAGGTACCATTATTATTGCTTTGCACTTGTACAGAACGAAAAGTATCGATTTGCTGTTATAATATTCCACGTTAAGTTTTTTTCTGTAAATCATTGTCTTGTTGTACATATATTATTAATTAATATGCCTTGTCTCCATCCCGGTTAACTGACCAAAGAAAATCCTCGGAATAATTCGTAGGAGTCCACAACAATCATAAACGAATGAACCACAATTGATTAATTACAACTACAATAGATAATATTATGTAAAGGCATTCAACAATAATATTTAATACAATGATGATATTTCAAATGACAAAAAAAAAAAAAATTAAATTGAGTAATAAAATAAAGTATTTTCTTATTATTCCTTAGAATAAGAAAATCTCTTCAATTAATTTTCATTAATGTTAAGAATCTCATTAATAAATAAATTAAGATTTGAGTAGGCGCAACTGTTTATTCAAATGTATTAACAATACGATGTGGTTTATTTACATTTTGTAGTCGAGTATTATATTATTATATGAACGGTCCATTTTGACAACTAAACGAACACATTGATGACACTAAAACGCGCCAGCGGATAGCGGCCGTTTATGGGACACTGGTCTTCGGATCCGTTCGAATTTGCATCATCGCGTGAGTTTCCATGTGACCGCGTGTCAGACGTGTTAGTTTGCTTGCGGGTGAGTCGTTTTTGTACGCGTGTGTTCAGAAACGTGCTTCAAGGCGAACCGTCGACGCCATCGCATGCGATCCTGGTATTAGTTACGTCCCTGACGTGAGTAACAAGTGCAATGCCGTTTATGCCGACATTCGCCGAGACGGTCTCGACGAGAATTTAGATTAGCCGAGGAGGCCCCGCGAACAAGCGCACCCGCAGGATAAAATCCCACCTGGGGCAAGATCAAAATTCTAAAGCCAAAAAAAGGTATAGTAATCTAGTGGCAACATTATGTCATAAGGCCTATGTGTAGGTTTACAATACAATATTAATATTTTTTAATTATATGTTAATGTAGATGATATAAATTAATTATATGTAGTAATATTTATCAAATAAAAATGGTATGCGTCTTGGTTGCGAACAAAATTGCATATCATAATTAATTGCCTTAACTTTTTTTGCGAAAATAAAATTAAGAAGCCTTAGAAAAATTGAGTTGGCGAATAACAAAATGTTCATGGAAATAGAACAACAAAAGTAGCCGGAAGTATATCAAAAAGTATACAGGTATTGTATAATTAATGTAGTAGCTAATATTAATATCTATCATATGAACTATACTTACTATATGAAATATACTTTTAAAAATATGTTTGTTACAGAAAACTCGTTAAAAATCGATTTTTGGATTTTTGGATTCATTTTTGAACCTTCTGAGGAATTTGAAATAATAACGCGCCCGACTTGTACAGATTTCGAATATTTATTAAATCAATGTTCACCAATTATTTCTAAAAAATACACGCATTGGAGATTGGCGATATCTGATAAATTACGTCTTACACTACGATATTTGACCACTGGCGATAGTTTAAAATCTTTTTATTCAAAAGTGACTGAAATTATATCAAAAATTGTTCCTGAAGTCTGTATAGCTCTAGTAGAAGTATTAAAAGATCAGATTTAGGTAAAAAATAAATTGTTCGCTGATAATAATAATTACAACTTTCAAATGTTTCTTTATTTTAAATCGACTATATTAATAACTTTTTTTTTATAAAATAGGTATTAATAAACATTTAATCGAAAAAAAAAATAATAATAATAATTAAAAATGTTTCTAATAAATAAGAACAATTTTCTTTTAAAATAATGATCAACTTCTAGTATTAGGTAGTTTACTGATTGTTTTCATCAATCATTGAAATGTTTATTTCATCAATACGATGATTGTAAGTTTCAGAAGCTATACGTATATTTTGCTTACCAACAAGTATATTTTTGTTAAAATATTGTTGATCAAAGTTTGATGGAAAAGTTAGACATATCTATTCAGAACATGATGAAATACTAGGGGGAGGTTTTTTTTGACATGAAGAGGTCGAAAATTTTTTTAATTGTGGATGATCTAATATTTTGGAAGATGAGTTATTTGAACGAGCAGAATTTACATTACGAAGTTTGTTGAAGTACAAACCTTCGATCTCGTACATAAATACTTCACGTTCATGTTCTGGCAGTTTTCTTATTTTTTTCGCCAACATTTTACCAAAAAGATCATATTCATCGTCTTCTTTATCGCTAGTTCTTTTAGTAATAACATTTATTAACATTTTAAATGCTTCTTTTATTTGGTTTCCTGTCTCTTGAAGTTCGGGAGGAGAATCGTGACGTTGAATCGTTGGCTTTGGCCTTGAAGGTGTTAGGTTTGGTTGTCCAAGAACTGCTGAACTCGTATTCTCTGTTATTTTTTTTGTTGTATTTGGTCTATCCACAGTTACCACGCTTTGATTTTCTTCGTCGTATACAGAGCTGATTTCCTCACGGTGACTTTGTCCGTCAGTTACAAAAGACTAAACAAAACGAAAACAATTGTATTTGTATATATTTGTTTAACATTAATATATTTTTGGCCTGGTTACAACTTATTTTTCTGCGAGGTCGATTTTCGTATTATTTTTGTTACAACGGTAACTTTTTATATTTTATTCATTTTACTTAATATTTGTATTGAAATAAAATATATTATTACTGACAGTATTTAGTATTAACAAAAATATATTTATGATTCGTAGATTTTCCTAGTAGAGAAAAAATATTAAGTTGCGCGCAACGTTTGATTTTACGCATTCCGTTTTATCGTACAAATTTTTACCATAGATTTTTTTTTTTTTTTTGTTACAGAGCTTTTGCATTGAGTGCGCACATTATGAAACCTGATACGGGAAATCGTGAATATGGATCTGATAAACGATTATTTATTGTTATTCAATAAAAAATTATGTAGTTGTGTTACTGTTAAGTACACATTTAGGTTAGACTAAAGCATCAAGATTAGAGAAGCGTTTACTGCATACTTAATATTACAATAATATATAATACCTAATATACTAAGTATATATAATAAATAAGTCTTATTGTAATCGATTACATATATTGTGATAAAATATGTCGAGTTATAAACGATTATAAATCATATTACTTTTTAATATTTATCATTTATGGTAGGTACTCACTGTATCTCGAGTATTCAGAGTTGTCCGGTGACATTTGTAAACCGGTGCTAGGAAAGACTCCATATATTCAAAAGCAAACCATACTGGTTTGTAAATATCAGTCGCGCCTGATTTGATTGAAGCTCTTTTCTTCCGCAAATGACTCCTAAATGTAGCCATTATTGAGTCTTTTTTTTTCTTCAAATCGGTAACCGAACAATCTAGTTTTCCGCTTAATCGAACCCATGCATCGTTGTTTTTTTTTCTGTCCTTGTGACACGAATGCGTTGGGTCCCATACAACGGGTTCGTTTTTGTACAACTCCAAAAACTTTAACGTCAATTCATTTGACCAATCGCACATGACGGGAGGCACGACTTACGCACGAAAAAAAACACAGTGCCTAACATGCGAGAATGCACGAGCACGGACGAAGCGCGATTCTCTCGTATTCGCGTCTCGACTGTTCTCGTGTTGTTCGACACGGCCACGAAAAAACCTTCTTCTGACCGAGCGCTGTCGAAGAGAGGCGAGGCGAGGCGAGAGCAGCCGACCGCGTCCAGTGCACTCTCGCGATGTCTGCATATTGTCTAATTAATATTCTCGTTACTTTAATCAATCGCTACTATTGTGCTGTGTCGTTGTCGAGTAAAATCGTCAAACATTTATCAGTCACGGTCGGATTTCGAACTCGCCAACCTCAACCGTCAACGCTGCCGCGACGCGCTTTTATGTTCGGAGTCACCGAAAAGGTTAGGTTCTCGCAAATAACAAAAAGAAAATAGAGATGGCTACACTGTTATGTGCTATCGAGTTTACTGAAAGATCGACTGTGTGGGCGCCTACGTTCGTTTCCGACTAGAAATGAGCAAAACGGGTCATTTGAACAATTCAGTTCGTTTGGTTCGGTTCATTTAAAAGACACGTTAAATAGTTTCGTTTATTGAATCTAAAAAATAATTACTACTGTATCGAACCGGATTGAACAAAGATTCATTTGATTAAACGTTATCGTTCGTTCCGTACAATTTCGATGCTAGTGCATTTTATAAGGAATTTTCACTGAGCGACAAAAAAATGTTTTTCTCAAAATAGTCAATGTAATACCATAGTACGATTATAGTGTTACACATTTATTTCGCATTATTTCGCCCAATTTTTCAAAATATTGTCGACAGAGTATATTCACTGGGCAACATTAGTGTCGCGTAGTTAACTAATTAAAAAATGCACTGTTCGGTGCTTGTACGTACTGAATTGGTTTTATTTTGATACTGAAATGATCGAACGCGATTAAGTCATAATCGAATCACAATTTACAAATTGCTATTGGAATGTTAACTGGTCTGTGTAATAGTCCACAATGTTCCATACGCAGCAACCAAAACAAAATTTAACGAACGAAGGACACTTTTTACTCACGATCCGGATTTCGGGTCGAATCGTTCGAAAACAGAGCAACCCGAACGAGAACGACTTTTTAAATTTATGTGATCCGGATCGGTTCGTTCACAAGTGTGACCCGTTCGTTCGCGAACAAAACATTTCTGTTTCCCATGGACCACAGCTGTACTACGGTGTGCATAGACATTACTTCATCGGTCTACAGTCGTGGTAATAACAACCAGAGATATATGTATTTATTTATTGAACTAGATGACCGATTCCTTTCAATCGTAGTAGTAATATTAAATAGCAATTACTACTTACTTAAATACTACTTTAATATGACAAAATAATTATATTTGTGAAATGAACAATTGGCCGCCGCTTTTATCGCAAATGATTAGATAAACTGTTCGTCTTATCAACACTGTTATCGCGGACGACGGTATGGTGATAACCTCATTCGAATCGCAGTCCTTATCACGCGGATTTCCCCGACGTTTGGTTATCGATTATTCGTTGCAATCGCTTTGTCACTTAAAACTTCGCCATCCGCACGCACGTTTCGTCCGGCACATCAACAGACGCACATTCTGAAAACACCGGCTCACCAAAATGTTCGGTAGAACTGGACCGGCCGTCAAGCCGAAACCGCGGACCTTCACCGAGAAGGTAAAGCTCATCTACCAGGACGAGGATATTTGGTAAGTGCTCGACCGTTGTTTTAGATACTTGTCACTGTAACTCGTATCTAACGTGTCGCGTTTCAGGAACATCGTCAAGAGCGTCGCGTTCTTTGTCGTGGCCATCAAGTTCACCAGAGAATTCCGTGGCGTCGAACTTGTACATTGATAAATCACGTATCACTGCTACATTCACTAGTTATCTGCTGTCTACTACCGATGTACATACATAATTAATTGTTTCAATGTAATTTTATTATTATTGAATTTAAAAATTGTAATTTTTTTTCTTTTTTAAGTCTAATATATTGAATTGTTTATGAGATTTAATATCACTTTTACCATTTTCTTATTCTCTCATCATATCATGATTTCTTTCAACAATATTTTATAGCCTTTGGCTATTATTTTTGGACAGTTAGGTAAGAGTGAGTTGTATAAAAAGTAAAAATAAATAAATGATAATTTATTAATAGTTTTAAAATACAATTATAATATATAAAAAACAATAGTCACAACGGGTCTAAACCCAATCATTTCACCTAAATAATTCGACTAAAATACATTGAGTTTTCTTTTTTTTTTTTTTACACAATTATTAACAATATATATATTAACAATAAATTACGATGTTTATGTTAGCAATAGTCCAACAGCAATTGATAAAAAGCCTAGTGTCTCCCAAGCACCTTTTAATGTAGAAATTCCAAACATCTTTTAATTTGTCAATTGCATACAATAATTGCTATGGTAACAGTGCAGCCAAAACGTTCTTGTTGACAATTTAGGGATAAATCTGCATTAATAACTTTATATAATTCTTTAGTTTGCTCCTATTTTGATTATGCTCTACTTATTTGGCATCCAATTCTGTAACACAGAAATAAGATCTAAACCAAATTCAAAATAACTTCATAAGATTTTTATGTTTTCAGTATCATATTTACAGAAATCCTCATTATCCCTACATCACAATAAATTTCTATAATATGCTAACATTAGAAAAACGATTTATGCAGCTAAAATTAAAATTTTTATACAAAATACTTAATTCGATCGATTGTCCCAAACTACTGCAAAATATAAACATTAAACATTAAAATAAATCCAATAAAGAGTTGAAATAATTTTTTATTTTTTATCGATTATTTTCATCTGTTACTGTCCAACTGAAATAAATAATTTTAATTTAGTATTTTTTCAATTCTTTAATTAATTTTTTTTTTATTCTTCTTCGTGTTATTTGTGGAAACCCATACCACCGACGATGTCCCTAACCGGTGTGTTTGTGGATGGTGGTGGCCTCTCGACGATGGGCAATGGCACTGCCGTCTCGCTGCTGGTCGACGGCACTACCCTCCCACCGCGGTCGACGGCGCCGCTTTCACCACGTTGGATTTCCTTATTGTAAATGGAGCGCCTAATATAAATTACGAAAGTTAAGGGAAAAGTATAGGCGGGTTTACACTGGTCGAACAACTGTTACCATGCGACGAAATTAAAGCCGAAAAGTAGTTTAGTGTTGGTCGAGTTTAACAATTCAACCATTATTGTAACAAAACTATAAAAAAGAAAAATAATGTTGGATGCCATCCGATTGACCGTAGATCAGTATTGCTCAGTCTGTTCAACGCTTATTTATTTTAGAGTGTTATTATTTAATTAGTATTTCTTTAATATTTGTCTTGTTCATTAACTAATGTATTCAATTATTAGGAATATAATTGAAGAAGTATATTTTAAAAATAGTTGAACAAATCAAATAGTTAGCGAACAAAGAATTTCTTTAAAAGAGTAATGTTTATAGTTTCGCTATTTGGACATCCATGTGGCGGAACAAGTTCCGTCGTCTATAGTTTAGGTTAGTTTATTATAATAATTATATTTAAATTTATAATAAATAATAAGTAAAAATGCATAAGCTATTACATCGGACGATTGTAAACTCGGTCCAAGGAAAAAGTTTTCAAAAGGTCTATTGTAAACTCGGCCCATGTTTTTTTCAAGTAAAAATAATTTAGGTGTAAACTCGGCCAAGATAAAAATGTACATTTGTATAATTTTCTTATAATATTTTTGAGAACCATTTAGCATTACCCAGAGGACACCACGAGGAGGCATTGTTTATATTCCTTTTTACATATTAAATATCACTTACTTGTAGATCTTGCGCGTTAGGTACATTGTTTACTGCACTACAAAAAAATTTGTTTGGCCTACTACAGATAACCTCAGTTTCTTTGCGTTTGCCCACGGTGGTAACACATTGTCGTTGTAGTACTTAGTCACTGACATGCAGATGGTCATCATCTCCGTAATATCATTATTTATTCCAAACGTTTTTAAAAAAGCTGTACATTTGCGGTTTATACATCGCCATTTTATTTCACTTGTAAATATAATTGGGCCAAGATTACAACCGACATTTTTTATTACCTGAAATTTTTGGGGCCGAGTTTACAATCTATCTACTTTATTACCTACAATTTCCGGGGCCGAATTTACAACAAAAAAGATAATCGCGGGCCTAGTGTTCATTTGCCCATTACATAACATAAAAAATGACTTATTTCAAATTTTAATACAATGGAAAAACGATCGCGGCGAATAGTCCGACGGCGAAATGACAGGGTCCGATTGTTTTTATATAATTATAAATAAATCAGTTATAATATATTATTACAAGCAAATTTTCAATAAAAAACTGAGAGCTTTTCATTTTTTGGGCATTTAAATTAAATTATAAGTTATAATTTATAACTATGAAGCATAAATTGCTTTTTTGAGCAAAAATGTTTTATACAAATTTAACATTTGATACGTATATTTAGATTATTACTTTTAACAAGAATTAATAACATAAATATTACAATTCACAGATGAAGGTGTTAAATTAAATGTTATACAAGACTTATAAGCCAAACTTTTTCTGCAAATGAAGCTTAATTTTAAATAATAAATAACGATAAGTAATAATTTTTAATAAGACGATTCGGAGCAAAGTATCGATATAATAATTAAAATCCGGATATTCAATCTAGATTTGAATTAGTCTGATCCGGATTTTTTTAATTATTCAATAATATTGAGATTTTTAAAAATAACCTCTCTAAAGTATTACCACTGGCTCATTTATATTCTAAAAATGTCCTATATGAAACTTTTGGACCAGTATTTCTCACAAGGACGAAAAATTGCTGTCAGAAAAATGAAACATCATTGTGAAACCATAAGATCCCTGTCTTCACTTAGAAAGTAAAATAATAATAATTGAAATTGAAACATTTATTTATAATTAATTTATATATCAATTTATTATTTATTTTATTTTGTTATTTTATTTCGTAACTCGTACAAGCCCGCTTTAAGAAAGTGAAATATAAAATATACTTGTACTTACGACAGTACTGGGACAGGTGTCCCAGTAACCCACTACATGGCAGTTATAATAACCCGAAACATTAAATATCAATATTAAAATGTTAAAAATAAAATATTTAAATATTATGTTTTTAAAACATTAAAATTTATCAATATTAAAAACATTAATCATTATTGTACTTGGCTTATGCAATATGCATGTTATTTAGGGTTGCTATACATTTCGGAAAACCGGTATTCAATGGCGGCTCGTGGGGTTCAACTAAGATAGTCCACAAGAAATGTATTTTTATTTATACCTATGTAAGATGGTAAAAATATTAATTTTGTTATAGGTGCATACCAAAATAATGTGCATACTTCCTATCTAAATTAATTTTTTTAAGCTTTTTACCACATTAAAATATAAATAAATGAGAAAAAATAACTAATCAGTTAATTATTGATTTATCATGTATAAACATGAGCACAATATCTTAGTAATTATAATTTATTATTAGAGCCGTAAAATTACTAACAAAGTAAAATTAATATTATATAAAATTAATCAGTTACATTATAAAAAACTAAATCAATAATTCTTTTTTTTTTGTATAAACACTTTAATAACTTCTTCGTTAAAATTAGACATTTCATTTATCATGCTTTTTACAATAAACAACATAGCTAATGCATTTAGTCTTTCTTCTATCATTGTATTTCTAAAAAATGTTTTAACTCTTTTAAAAGTTGAGAATGACCTCTCTGCTTCAGTTGATGGCATTGGAACTGTTGCAATAATTAATATAAGTTTATAAGTTTGTACAATTCTGAAAACACTGATTGTAAATTGTTGTCAATAATACATTTTAATAAATTGACAATCCCTGACACGTCACGAAAACCGATTCGTCTATATATTAATTTTAATTCAATCTTAAGTTTGTTGTTATCAAATACAGAATGAGTCTCAATTGTTTTGTTGAAATATTGTAGTGGAAAATGATTTTCGTATGAAGGAAAATTTGAGGATATAAATAAATAAGAAGCAAATAAATGATCTTTGTACTCAAACCGGTCCTAAACGCTATTAATAAAAACATCACATCCTTTGAAGCTGCATTCCTTGAAACATTTGTGTCGTTTGATCTTTTTCTTTTGGACTTAAAAACTTCATCAGACATTTCATTTAAATTATTTTTTTCTAAAAAAATAGTTAATAAAATTTATAAATTAATAAATAATAATAATATTCCGATAGACGTACAAAAAAACTAATAAACGCATACCGCACACGGAGACGGCACGCCGTTCAACAAATTACCTAAATAATGGCAAATAATAGTCAACTGATGACGATTTTAATCGGGTTTTATATTATATTGTTGGTATTATATTAGCATATTAATTGGCATGTACAGTGTTATCGTTTCGACGAACGACGTGACATCGCCACACAATAAAAATAAGTTCGGTGCACACATTAGGGTCCTGCCGCACTGCGGTTTTTTCGCCGTTCGTATGAACGGTTTTTCCGTAATCGGAAAAATACACATATTTAAATTTAGTGCGCCATACTCTAACGGTTTGACCGTTTGATGCCATCCGTCACCACTACATGCAACGGTCGGACGGTGAAACCGTCGATAATAAATTCTGCCGTTCGTTCCAAAAACACATGATTGTGATACGCCACATTGCGGTACGTTTCAACGGTTTTTACGGTGATCCAAACAATTGCATAATCCATATTATATAACTAATAGGTGGGTAATTAAATAAAAAATAAAAATATCGTAAGATCTAAATATTTTTAAAATTAATTATGTAGGACGTTTGTATAATATATAAACGTAATAATATTAATTGTTATTCTAAATTATTGTTATTGTTACCTACAATCTTCATAAGTTAATATTTATGTGGATTTTAACCACTTCTAATATTATTATGTATATCGAATGTTTATAAATTATAAATAAATTATTAAAAATAAACAATTAATATATACTTAAATTAAAAATTAAAAACGTTAACAAAACAAAAAGCACAAGTGGTCAATAGGAATTCAGCAGCGAAATGAGACTGTAGTTATGGTGTGAACGGTTATAAAACCGACGGTAGATCCGTTTAAAACTCAACGGCGAAAAAACCGCAGTGTGGCAGGACTCTTAGGGAAAGATATTGCAATTGTCAATCACAAACAATTTATTTATGTAAGAAGTACAATGTTTTTCTACATCCAGATTGTTTTCGAAAATTCCATGAAAAGTAAAAAAAAGTTTAAAAAAATATTTATTGTTCATGTTTCAATAAATACAAAATATATTTTTGTGAACATACATTTTTTTTTTCAATATAATAATTCAACTATTAAATCTATAAATTCAGAATAAATAAATAATTTAACAGTTTAAATAAATTCGATGTTTTTTGTTATTTTAAAATACACATTATGCCAATGTTGCATCAACGCAACATTTTCTTACGCAAAATTGGGTAGACCAGAAAATTTTTTAATTTTTTCCCCGTTATAAAATTACGTTACTTAGCAAATACCAATCATTATTATAATACGTTTTTCAATGTTTAATATTTTGGTCGTTAATGGGTTAATAGTTTTTAACTTTACGTGGGAGATAGCGATAAAATAGATATAATGTAAATCCAATCAATGGTATAAGGTCTATATGATAACTTCATTTGAATCACAGTCCTTTTCACGTGGAACTCCCGTGTTTGGTTATTGATTGTTCGTCGCAGTCGCCTTGTCATTTAAACTTTGTCGTCCGCACGCACGTTTCGTCCGGCATATCAACAGTTAATCGCACATTCCGAAAACACCAGCTAACCAAAATGTTCCGTACAATTGTAGTGGCTAACAAGCCGAAACCACAGACCTTCACCGAGAAGGTAAGGTTCATCTACCAGGACAAGGATATTTGGTAAGTGCTCGACCGTTGTTTTAGATACTTGTCACTGTAACTCGTACCAAACGCGTCGCGTTTCAGGAACATCGTCAAGAGCGTCGCGTTCTTTGTCGTTGGCCATCAAGTTCACCAGAGAATTCCGTGGCGTCGAACTTGTATGAGTGACCAGAGGCTGGTAGCCGATTTTTTAAGAAGCTTATGGAATCGGCAAAAGGAAAGCACAATATATAATTTGTTGAAGTAGTCGTATTTGAGTGATGAAGACTAGTTAAAGTTATCTTAATTGATTTGATAATCGACAGAACAACACGTAACCTACGTTCGAATACATGCATTTTAGTTGTAACTAGTTTTATTGACTTATTTTAACCTGCGGTTGATTTTAGTTTTAACTAGTTAAAACTAGGTTCGACGGATTTCGGGTTTTAACTGTAACATATATACATAATTAATTCAATGTAATTGTATTATTATTGAATTTAAAAATTAAATTTTTTTTTCTTTGTTAAGTTTAATATATTGAATTTTTCATGAGATTTAATATCACTTTTACCATTTTCTTACTCTCTCATTATGTCATGATTTCTTTTCTTTCAACAATATTTTATAGCCTTTGGCTATTATTTTTTGACAATTAGGTAAGATTGGGTTGTATAAAAAATAACAATGAATAAATGACTATGAATCTATTAACAATTTTAAAATACAATTATAATATATAAAAAACAATAGTCACAATGGGTCTAAACCCAATAATTTTCCACCTAAATAATTTGACTAAAATACATTGTTTTCTTTTTTTTTTTTTTTACACAATTATTATAATATATTAACAATAAATTAATAGATAATACAGTTTAAATAAAAATAATTATCGTTCTAAGGATGGTTGCAGTTCTATTTAGAAGCAGCTGCTAATTGTTTCATACGATTTAATGCACTACCGGCTTTGAACCATTCAATTTGTTGTTCATTGAATGTATGGTTCAACATGATTTCATCTTTGCTTCCATCAGAATGACATAAGATGCATTTCAAAGGCTAAAAAAAAAAAATACTATTTTAATTCAAGAACCACTTAAAGTTATTTTAATGTTTTGCAATTTGTATTAGGTAAAATTAGACTAACAAAACCTAAGAAATTACAAAAATTAATGTTTGTAATTTAAATAAATTTGGTTTTATCAACTAGTGTTTAGACTTCATGAAGGTAGGTAATTTTTACAGAACGAAATATAATTTAAACTATTTTAAAACAGTTTTTACCTTGCCCGGAGCAAATTCGTTAAGTCCAACTAAAGATACTTTATCAGTTGGTTGAACTTTATCATAATCCTTAGGATTAGCAAATGTTAGAGCAAGAACTCCTTGTTTTTTGAGATTTGTCTCGTGGATACGTGCAAAAGATTTCACAATAATGGCACGTCCTCCTAAATGGCGTGGTTCTAAAGCAGCATGTTCCCGACTACTACCTTCACCATAGTTTTCATCACCAAACACAACCCACGACACCCCTTTTGCTTTGTACGCCCTAGCTGTATCTGGCACTGCACCCCATTCTCCAGTTATTTGATTTTTCACCTTATTCATTTCATTATTATCTGCATTGATTGCTCTATGAAATGGTAAAAATAAAATAATTTTATTAAATATATAAATATAAAACAATAACTATGATTAATTACGTTAAAAACATGTTGTTAGAAATATTGTCCAAGTGACCTCGGTATTTCAACCACGGGCCAGCAGCAGAAATGTGATCGGTTGTACATTTTCCTTTAACCTGTTCAAAATAAGAACATCATACATAAATATAATTAATTTGGTAATAAAAATTTAAAATTATATTTAAACATACTTTAAGAAGAATAGTAAGATCTTCCAAATCTTTATGGTCCCAAGGCTTAAATGGCTCCAATAGTTGTAAACGTTTTGATTTGGGATCAACATCCACACTAATGGTCGATCCATCGGAAGGTGGAGCTTGGTAAGTATCTTGACCAGGGTCAAAACCTCTTGAAGGCAATTCATCACCAAATGGATTACTCAGTTTAAATTCTTTGCCTGAAAAATATTAGTATATATAGAATTTGATAACATTTTTTTATGCAATTATATATAGATTTCAAACTCCGAATACATAATTTTGGATGTTTTTTATTTTTTTAATATATCTATGCTTTAAATATTTTTATGTATTGACATTTTTTAGAACTAAGTTAATTAGTAACATATTTACAAAACTTTTATAAGACATTAAAAAACTAACAAATTTAAGATTTTTAATAAAATCATTTTATTTACAACATAAAGTATTAGAGAATTTAATTAGAGAAACTATTTAATTCACTATTAGAAAAATGTTATTTTACTCATAAATTATATCGTTTAAATTAAAAAATATAATTTTTATCAATGAGTTGTTAAAACAAGAGTTTGATTCTAGTATGAATAAAGGTTCTTCTAAAAATTTAAAATAACAAATATTTTATCATTAAAAACAATTATTCATAACTAACCATCAGCTCCTTTAATTGAATCAGTTACAGGATTGAAGTCTAGACGTGCTTCAATAGCTAAGGCCGTAACTAGCTCAGGAGAGGTGACGAAAGCATGCGTTGCTGCATTAGCATCATTTCGACCAGTGAAATTTCGATTATATGAGCTAACAATGGTATTTTTTTCTCCTTTTTTTACATCTTTACGGTCCCATTGACCAATACATGGACCACATGCATTAGCTAAAACTGTACCTCCAAAATCTCTTAAAGTTTGTGCCTAAATAATATCGTAATTAAAAACAAGTCAAAAATAATAATTTAAAATAATTATATACAATTCCATCTCTTTCAATAGTAGCTCTGATCTGTTCTGATCCAGGTGTAACATTAAATGGGATTTTCGATTTACGTCCATGAGCTAAGGCTTCTTTGGCAATAGTGGCACATCTTGACATATCTTCATAACTTGAATTAGTACAGCTTCCAATAAGTCCTGAAATAACAAATATTTGTTATTTGTGAGGAAAAATTTTTTAAATCATAATTAAAAAGTAAACAAATTATTATGTATGTATTATTTAAGGAAAAAATGGGTTTTTATTATAATAAATATATGCGCATACATATAAATTTCCCATTAAAACGATAGTCAAGGGCATTTGTAGATATTTTTTCACTTGGGTAGTGGAAAGTAGAGAAACACTTATTGTAAGTAGAGAATTATTTTATCTTATTATCTTATTTATTTATTATCTTTTAGTAAATAGAGAATTATCACACTTGCAGATTTCACTCTCAGTGGAGTTGGTCCGGTGAGGAGTAGTGTAAAACAACCAAAATTATAACAGGAGAAAGAGACTACAGATTTAATTCTGCAGAATGTTTTTCACTAAGCCAAGTTCAAACTGATGATTGTACATGTCGTAGCCAACTGTATGACCATTGCATTACACTGCTCCATAATAAATATTTGAATAAGTTAAGTTTAACTTAAATTAAGAGTTTGCATACATTGAAATGTTCATTTATTTTTAAGTTATATCTCCTAATATTACATTGATACAATATAAATGAAATTAAATGTAAAAAACTTACCAACTTTAATTTCATTGGGCCAATCATTTTTTTTGGCATTATTACCAAGTTTAGATATAGGGTGAGCGAGATCAGGTGTGAAGGGACCATTAACGTGAGGTTCTAATGTTGTCAAATCAATTTCAATTAACTATATAATAAAAGTAAAAATTGAAACATTAGATCATTGATTACATTGAATATTTTAATGGTTAAGACAAAAAAAATTACTTGATCATAATGACTGCCTTGGTCGGGGGTCAATAATACTTTGCTGTATTTAGCAGCTTCTTCAGCAATATCACCACGTAGAGTAGCTTTCAAATAATCAGCCATACGATGATTAAAAGGGAACAATGATGTAGTAGCACCAATTTCAGCTCCCATATTACAGATAGTACCCATACCTTTAAAAATAAGATTAACGATTATTTAAAATAATATCTATAATTTCTTAATATCAATATGTTTACCTGTGCACGATATATTATCAACTCCAGGTCCATGATATTCAATGATAGCACCAGTGCCACCTTTGACAGTTAAAATATCAGCAACTTTTAAGATAATATCTTTTGGTGTAGTCCAGCCAGTCATTTTGCCAGATAAATGAATACCAATCACCTAAATAAATATAAAATTATAAATAAATTAAAAAAATATTAATTTTACTAGTTAATAATTACTTTTGGGCATTTGAGCTCCCATGGAATGTCAGCCATAACGTCAACAGCATCTGCACCACCAACTCCAATACATAAGCCACCAAGACCACCACCATTAGGTGTATGGGAGTCAGTACCAATCATTAACAATCCAGGGAAAGCATAATTTTCAAGAATAATCTAAACAAAAAATGATCAAATTTTTATTTTAATAATTTAATTCAAAATACAACTATTAAATATCAAATAATATAACAATAAAACTATACAATACAAATTATATATTATATAATTATAGTAGAACTGTTAATGTCTTATTTTTACTTGATGAATGATTCCTGAACCAGGATGCCAAAATCCAACTCCATATTTAGCACCGGCAGTTTTTAAAAAGTCGTATACTTCTTTATTTAAATCTTTTGCACGTTTTAAATCTTCTACTCCACCAACCTGTTAATCAACATTTATTTAACATAAAAAAACTAAATGATTGTATAGTTTCAATTTACTTGAGCTTCAATTAAATGATCACAATGGATGGTAGATGGTACAGCAACTTTAGGTAAACCAGAGGAAATAAATTGCAACATGGCCATTTGTGCAGTTGCATCTTGCATAGCTACACGGTCAGGTCTTAATTTTAAATAAGAGACACCACGTTCAATATCCTGATTTACTGGATCATCCAAGTGAGAATAAAGAACTTTTTCAGCCAAAGACAATGGCTTTCCCAATCTATAATAAATAAAGATTATTAAAAAAATAATTAACTAGAAAAATGTTAGAAAAAAAGGTTATATAAGTCATACATTTACATATTAATGTATTTATTCTATAAGCAAAAATATTTATGTATTGAACAAAAGATCTGAGATAATATAAATTCATTGTTTATTTATACACATATATATATTTTACATTATTAGTTACCAGTGAATATATAATTTAGTAATAAAAAATTGGAGAAAGAATTTTTTTTTTTTAAATTAAAATCAAAATGATTTAATCAATTATCACATAATGTAAATATAATGCATATTATTTGTATGCAAAAAACAGTATTGCTGTTTTCTATATTTTGAAAGATTTAAAAATATACTTGAAATAATAATTATATTTAATATCAAATTAAGGCAATTTTTTTTTTTTGCAGAATTAAGGAGTATAAGATATTTATTAACATAGTATTGATTTTTACCTTTTACTATTCATAGGTAATGCCAAGCGGCATTTTTTTAAGCACATTCCAAGAGATACAAATTAAATCAATAATTAAAATAATTTTGAAACATTTGATAATAAACAAAATAACATATATAAATATGTTATTGTACTTATTTTTCACTAGAAGTTATGTTTAATGTATAATCCTAAGGTTTTTAATTTATTACTAATCATTAATATTATACATCATCATTGTAAAAAATATATTTATAAAATACTTTATAAGTTTCTTAACATTTTTATTAAATAGTTTTATGGTTCTATTTGCGATATTTATAAGTAATTTATTTCAAGTTTAATAATAAAGTTTATCATAATTTAATTTAAGCAAAAATAAAGGTAAGAGCTAAATTATGTAAAAACATATGTTATCACAACCTACAATAGATAGGTCACCCTAAAATATAAAAATTTGGCGCTAAACCAAAATTCACAGTAAAAATAGACATATTGAAATCACTAGTAGGTTAGCTTGAATGTATTTATTTATTTTTTTAATATGACCGCTAACCAAAATCATGATATTATTTGTATTGAAAATAATAAAATAAGGAATAACTAATAACATTAATATTATCTGAAAACAATAGAATATGATTTTTAATCTTATCAGACACAATAATGAATATAAATGGTCAAAATAGTTACCCGGAAATACTGCAAATGAATTAGTTAAATTATAAAAAGAATAAAAACAATCATGACCATAGATTATAAGGTCTAAACAAGTGCAAAGCTCATGTTTAAAACTAGGCCATAATAATATTGCTTCCTAGTTCATATTGGGAAAATTCCACAATAAATAATTGAGAATGCGTTAAATATGTTAATATTGTTAACATTGGCCAATAAATATACATTTCATAAGTATAGAAATGTTATTAATTGAGAAGTAAATACCTAAATACCTTGCATAAATGGACCAATGCTTAATATTGTTATTTTTTTTTAAATTAAGTAACTAAATACAAGTTGGTCAAGGCCAAATAACTAAGATAACATTATGAATGAGAAGCTATTCCAAATAAATAAATAAAATTTTGTTAAACCAAGCTAAGGTTACTAATAAACATTTAATATATAAAATATTGCTTTTTTGAGGCACAAAAAGTGATCACTATAGAAGAGTTATTATACAATAATGAGTAATGTAAAAACAAATATACCTGTCAGCGACTATCTTGATGCGTTTCTCCAAAATATCGTAGGGCAAGGGCTTGGTGTCGAGTTTGCTCATAGCAACTTTGGACGCGCCAAAGACGGCCGGTGATGAGTGGAAACATCTCTGTTGGATTTCACCAGACACCAGTTTCGTCCAGGACACCTACAACATAAGCAAATACAATCGTGTCTATATGTTCGACTTGATACGGGTAAAACAACTAACATGCATGCGTATCCAAAGAAGTCGGGAACACAAACTAAATGGTACAAAAAAAAAAATGTATACAAAGGATATTACCTGTGATTTGAACGTTCTGCAGTACGCCATAATCGGGATTAGATTTCGACGGTGTGTTACGTGACGACAGTTTGTTCAACGCATCTGTTGGACGACCGATGAAGGAATGGACAGATATGATGAACAGTATTAATTAACGATAATGATGATCTTCCAACAAATATCGATTACGCGCGGTAAAGTTTAAAAGAAGCCGTTGAGATTGCACCGTGACGGACGGCGAGGGCAGAATGTGAGGACGTTAATAAGTGGGCGGACGGATACTACGTCGCTACCCGGTGTCGAGGAAAGTTGTGAGCGGCGGCGTCGGAAAATTGCAATTGTTGGACGATGAATCGTTAGTCGATGGGAAGCATTGGGGTAACCTTAACAGCCGTTTCGTCTCGAATAACCCCGCCCCCGTAATCAGTTTCCGTCACCATGATAAAAGCGATAACCCGGTTGGTATGCTTTGCTCAGGGCGTCCAACGTGAGCGCGTGCCCCGTCGTCATGAAAGCCCGCGCGCCGTACCAGCCATGAATTTGGACTACGGACGAACATGTTATGGCCAGTGTCGGCCTGGCCAGGGCAGCGAGGCAGCGAACGCTGCCGAGGCCCTCAACCTTTTACGTATTTTATCTGGTTTTATTATAGTATAGGCACCTCAAATAGTGATGGACGGGGACTTAATAGCCCAGGGTGCTAAGTATTGTTAAAGGCTCTTTAGGTCATTACATACATGTGCGATTAAATTTTGGTAATTGGGTCTCGCACAAATATATACAATTAATGAGCAAAAAGAGTTTAAAGGATAAAAACTTATTAACATTGAATATTTGAATACTTTCGGTTTATTGGAATAATTTTGTTTTTAAAATACAAGTATTCTCTAGGTGTTTTGTTGTCATGCAACATTAAATTCTCTTATCGCATCATAATGGTTTAAGTTTAAAAATACGAGTATTTATTATTTTTCGTAAATTATTTTTGTTCTATTTTTGGATACTACATGTTTTTCATAATATGTTAACGCTCGTGCAATATAAGATAACGATAATACGATGTATAAATATATTTATATTTCTTTTTATACCAGTTGGATTTTTATCACTTCTATAATAGTTAAATTAATATTTGTATACATACGGGGCACGGGCATTCGAGTGTGTAACGCGTGTTCCGGTATTAGTGACCAGTTTCGTTTTGTGTTTTGTGTAGCTTTATTAAAATTAACAAAAATGAATAAACAGAGGTTTCAAAGTGGACACGCCAAAAGAAAAGCGAAACAAAAGGAAGCCTTAATTGCTTGTGGAAACGACAAAAGTCAAAAAAAAATTTGCTTCTTCCCAACTATTAGACAAGGTAAGAATAAAATTCAAAATTATGTTTTATCTCACATGGTATACACTGCTTCTGCTAATTTCAGTAATTTCAGGTAATTCTAGTGTTACAAGTGATCCAGTTTTAAATATAACTGAAAATAATTCATCAGATTTTGAAAATGATTTGATACATGCCAATGGTAATAATAGTAAAAATTAAAAACTATGCAATGTGAATGTTAATTTATTCAATAAATAATCAAAATTGTCTTTTTTGGATAATTCTAGCACAGGTTGTGATATAGTTTTAAGTACAACTGAAAGTAATATAGCAAATACAGAAAGAAACATAACTAATAATACTGGTAAGTGGTGATACATATTATATAAATATATTATGTAACTACTAACTATTAATTATAACTCAACTTACTTAACCTTATTTATTATTGCTTATATTAAAACAAATATACCTATTGATTTAATTTTTATCTAGTTGTTGAAAAAAGTGTTGAATAAATTCAATTTTTATAGAGAATTAAATAAATGCTCTTTTAATATAAAAATTAATCTTATTTTATGCCAAAATAATTATTTTTTGTCTAAAATACACTCTCACAGTTAATATATTTTTGGATCATTTTTTAAACCAAGTTGTATAGTTTATACTAGTTATACAATATATATAATATATATTATTATTATTTTTTTTTTTAGTAAGCTACTTTTAATAATTTATTTGTTTTGTATAAATATGTACTACTTCTTCCATCAACTCAGGTAACATGTGAAAGAGTTTTTTCTAAACTTTAGTTGGTTAAATCAAAATTAAGATCTACTATAAGTCAAGAACATTTAACTCCATTAATGCTAATGAATGTCGAGAAAGATATAGAGATTGATAAAGAACATATTATTAATTGCATAGCTGGTTCATCTGATGCATTAAAAAGATTACTTACGTTATAAATAAAAAAAAATTATACTATTAGAATAATAATATAATGTGTTAAATCATTTATTTGTTGTTGTTTTAAAATTAACCAAGTCTGTTAATTAGTAGAATATAATTATTTAAATAGTGTATCAGTGAATTTAAGGAAATTTTATTAAAAAAAGAATAAGTAAATTTTAATACCTAATAAAGAGTATGTAATTCAAACTTGTATAAAATTCATCTATTTTTTAGTTAAAAGAAATATTATGTACACATTTGTTATAATAATAAAATAATAGTTTTATTTTAAATATATATTTTCTATAATATGTTGTGTATGTATGAAGTCTATATGTATGTAAGATATTACAAAACATGACTTTCAAAATTTCAACCCAATCTTAGATAAATTTTGATAAAAAAATTGAGGCCCTAAAAAAAACCCTGCCTAGGCCTTTCATAGCCCAGGCCGACACTGGTTATGGCGCAACATGATCGCGCAATAAATAAATTCATTGAACAATTAACGAGACATTTTTTAGTGGAAATCCTAACCTAGTAAACGTTTAAGGAGGACACGATTCACTGGACAACATCACAGGCAACAAGAAATGCTCGACGTGATATACGGTGATAATTTAATTTTTTTTATTCGTATAAAATATGTTCAGTGTAATTTTTTTGCTCATCGGGATTTTGAAAAATGTTCACCCGAGGTCTTTCCCTGAATGCTTATGTCAATATATTATTTAAATCGTAGGCGTGTCCGCCAGGAATTCTATCAGGGGGATGCATCATGCATAGTATACACGCTGATATCTAAATAATGCTTAAATTGTTATATTTTTTTCGATTGTTATAAAGTAATGCAGGCTACTAGAAAATCTGATAATGGTAGCCTCTATTCTAAATTTTAAAATTAAATTCTTCTTTTTGTTTTAATCCAGGGGGTGCAAATTAACGGGGGTTCCACCCTTCTCGGGGTGCCCATAGTGTCCGCATCTTTTTAGCAGGTCATGCACAAGACAAATGTGAACTGAGTTAGCATCTAATTTCCGTCGTTTTACCGTAGAGTAGTAGCGGTGCGCGAATAAAATGTATAGAGAGACTTTTAACTTTAGTTCAACTACTGGCTATTTATATATATTTTTACTTGAAATATTAGTAAGTATTTTATTTAATATATATACATATATAGGTCGGATTTAGCACAAATGCCGCTATAGGTAAGTATATATATTAGTATAGATAAGTAATGGTATGCCCTGTAAGTTTTACGATGACATCCACATACATAAAATATTATTATTGTAATGATAACTGATATTTTACGAATAAATATTGAAAAAAATTATATACCAGAAACTCAAAAAATTTACGCAATCTACAAAAAAATAATTAAATAAAATAAATTTTTTTTGTTTGATTCAATAAATTTGCCACCCAAGGCCTGGGTTTCATTAACTTGCTTACAGTTTTTAAATATAAGTTCATCATTATGTAACTCATAAAAAACATTTAATTCAATTATTTACGTTTTTTGTTTAAATTATGGACCCACGTCCTACTTGGTTTTTCATCTCTTCAATTTCTAACAATCACGGTTATCTACTGGTTATAACCGGTAGATAACCGTGCCAACAACAGTGACCACAGAATAGAGACGATAAAATCTTTTTTCGTCGGAAAATATGTTGGTGACCAATAACGACTTTACTTTTCTTGCTTTTTGGTGTACGGCATGAATTGTTTGATTACGATTAAAGCCGACCAAAGAAAAATTGAATCAACCCACTTCAAGCAGTTTTGCACTTTTAGTGTACGGCCGGCTTTAAAGTATTTAAATTCGCTCCAATAACATCTGTTGATGTTAAAGTTTATTTTCGAGATGTATTAGCAAACAATCGTTACTCTATTACATTTGAAAATATTAGAAAAATGTTAGTCACAGAATAAAATAAATTTGGGTAAATTATTAAATCACAAACACAATATGTATTTATAATGGAAATTATTGTTTTTATTTTGTTTAAAAACAAGATTAGAGAAAAATAAATTAAAATAATGAATAAAAAATAACTATTAATAAATTAATTTATAATTTTTGGTTTTTAAATAATAATTGTTATGAATCAGACCTGCGCGAACGGTTGTCTACCTAGTAGGAATCTGCGTAATATTTATACGTATGTCGCGTTTTATGGTTAGTGCAAGAGTCAATGGAGGGTTAGTCATATACAGAAACGCAGAAAGTATATTTTTATTAAACATGCGTAAATTGTTGAAAAATTTGCTAAACTTAAAGCAAGAAAAACATCCTTTGTTTAATCTATGAATAAGTAAAGCTCAACTATATTTTTCTATATTTCATTTAAGTAAAGTGAGATTAAGTGATAAGTACTTTATTTTTGCAACTTATCTTAAGGAACGTTCGAAGTATTGTTTATGTTAGTTATATACGATTTGTCTATGGTGATTTATGGTATCAAAATAACAGTTTAATCAAAATTTAAATAATCAATAAATAATTTTAGCTTATAGATTCTGTATAACGTGACTCTACTAAAGAGTTTTTTATTATACCTAATAAAATGATGGATACTGATACTTTTACAAGTTTAATTGGTGATGAATGCTAATTGCTATATTATTCAAAAAAACCACGATTTTTTCGTGATAATATCATTTTCTTGAGTGGGATGAAAAATAATTTTATCATACATTTCATTTAATAAACGATGTGTGAATATTTCACTAGATTTAATTTAATTCAAAATTGAACTATCTTTAAAAAAAAAAAAAAGTCTTTAAAAGCTTTAAACCTATTAAAGTTGTATGATACAAGTTATATCATATAGATTCATAAATTATAATTATTTATTTTCGATCAATTTATGTTATTGAACACTATCAATTATTACAATCATGAAATAGATAATTAAAATACAGATAAATAGGTATTAAAATATTTTAATTACCTACAGGTGAAAAAATTTAGATATAAAATCAATAAAAATGATTAATCATTAGATTATATTTAATTTCAGATGATTTTTGTATTTAATTTAGTACACATAATAAATGATAATTATAATAAAATGTACGAAAAAAAAAACACCAAAAAAATATAACATTTTGTTGAAATAAGGAATTTATAACCTTATAAAAATGATTGATATGATATTTAAAAATTGGTTATCGTATAGGCAATAATTATTGTATAGGCCAAATTTTAATTTGTATCAATTTTAATATTATAATAATCATAAATATTTGGCTAACACCAAATCGTGGGGAGAAAGATGAAAAAGAAAAAGAAACAAAATCATAGTTACCTATATAACTATTATTAGACCTATTAATTGAATAAATTATTGAGAAAATGTACATTTAAGTGGTTACATAAAATTGTTTAATTTAAATTACATCTAATTGCTTACATAAATACCGTATTTGCTTTGCTCGTATTTTACGTTTTATTTTATTTAAGTATGTTGGTATAATTTTACAATAGTTATAAATAAATTAATACTTTTAGTTTGTGCAGATACTAGTAAATATTCTAAGCTAATAAACTGGTAAATTTGTATTATATTAACTTCTATTATTTTTTAAAGTGAATACTACCGTCGAAATAAATAAAAACATATGCCTATTTAATATTTCCATCTGGAAAGAAAATGGTAGTTATTGGTATTATAAATAAACAATATTGTAAGCTTTCAATAATTTTTATATTTTTGTTTTACATAAAAAATGTATATACAAAATTTACAAATAAGATTATAAAAAATTAAAAATAATCACATTATTGTTTTAAAATTAAATATATAACTTATATGTATTTCATTTGTAATATTTAAAAAATGTTTCAAAAATTAATGCAACTTAAATCAAAAAATGTTCTCTACTATGGCACATTATTTTTTAAGTTAAGTGCACACCATATAAAGTTCTTCAACTCTATATTTTATTAATGATTCATAGAAACAGATAAAATAGTTACTCAAATCTAACACTTGGTATTTCAGAAATACCCAGTTTGATATTAATTCATATCCTCACAATCTAAGCTTAATAAATCAATCGTTCATTTGATTGTCTAGGATAATCTTTGAAACATTTTTCAAAATTAATACAAATTTTTAACTAAAATTAATTATTATAAATTAAATTAATATTTACTTTTAAGTTAACTATTACTAGAATCTTATATTAACATGTATTTCGGTTGAGCTGAATATTATTATTTAAAATATTGGTTAGTTAATTTATACTTTATGAATCAGCAATAACAGGTGCTAGACTTGTTTGTAAATTTATCTTGGGGCCGAGTTTGTTACAGATCGGAATTTTATCATTTTTCTCACATTTTTTAGATTTTTCCCAATAGCTCTGACCTTCAGGACATTGATACATTTCACCTAAAATAAAAATTCATAATATGTATATGAGCGGAATTTTTTTACAAAATGTATAATTTTAATTTACCCTTGAGAATTCCCCTAGCATTCCTGGTGCACTTGACAAAAGTTTGACAATTGTTTGGAGAGCCGAACGTTCCTTCAGATGGACATAATTTCTGGTAAGGTTGAATCTGAACCTGTGAAATAGAAAAAAACAAATTATTTTTGTTTACCTTTAGTACATATAATAACTTACAGTAGGTAGTATATCTTCGATTGGCTCTGACCGGCCTTCGTTATTTAATGGACACGACTCCGCTTCATCTGGTGGTAAACATTGAATCTTCTTTTGGTCATAGTACGTACCATTCGAGCACGCAAGAACTAAAATCTTCATATCATTGTTATCTGCTATAGTACATTGATAGAAAAGGTTACAATTTTTTGGATGCCTTTTAAAGCTTGTCGGACACACTAAATGTATTTGATCAGGTTCCAAGGTAGGACATTTTTCAGTAGAATTTGTTGTTTCAGGTGATATTGTTGTAGGATCGGTGGTAGGTTCAGTTATTTCTGTCGGGTTCGTCGTTGGTGGATTAGTCTCTGATGGGTTAGTTGTAGGTGAATTAGTTTCCGACGGATTTGTAGTTGGTGGATTGGTTTCTGTTGGGCTCGTTGTCGGTGGGTTGGTTTCTGATGGGTTAGTTGTTGGTGGATTTGTTTCCGTTGGATTTGTAGTTGGTGGATTGGTTTCCGTAGGACTGTTTGTGGAAGGATTCGTTTCTGTTTGACTGGGTGTAGTCTCAGCTGGATTAGCCGTGGTCGAATCAGTTCCTGGTTGACTAGGTGTAGTAGATTCGGTTTCAGGTAAATTTGTTGTCGGATTAGTTTCTGGTGAACTAGTATCAGAAGGTCCTGTTGTCTCAGTTGGGCCTACAGTTGTTACCGAAGGATTAGTTTCTACGTTCGTTGTAACTTCTGTCACTGTAGTCTGAGAAGCAGTAGTACTAGCTTCACTTGTGCTGGTTTGTGGAGAGCTTGATCCTGAACAATCTCTTGGAGGGTATACAGAAGCTTCGTGGTTACATACACTTAAACTAGGATCAAAAATGGTTCCTTGAGGACAATCGAAGTGATACACAGAAAACCGTTCACCTTTATCACCGTCCCAGTCGGCACATCTATAGAACTTTTTGCAATCATCTGGATGAGGGAAAAATCCACTTTCTTTACATACTATTTTACTTGGGGGTTTTGGTGAAGTAGAACAAGGAGCAGTCGTATTATTTGTAGACGTTTGAGACGTTGACCCCGTATTCGTGGACGATGACGTTTCTTGACTAGAAGTTGATGACGAAGTTTGGGTCTGAGTAGTTTGACTACTACTAATTGTGGTTTCCGAAGACGGAATTACGGAAGATGTAGTGGATATTTCTGGATTACTAGTTTGGCTTGACGTAGAACTTTCAAAACTGCTAGATTCAGTAGATTCTGTTGTATGGTATCCAGGTGTAGACGACGAAGACGATTTCGAGCAATCTCTATCCACTGCCCACGGGTGATTACATACATTATTAACATGGTCCCAAACAGTTCCTGGGCCACAATTAAAGTTATACTTGGTAAAGCTGTTTCCATTTCCAACACATCTATAAAATTTGTTACAGTCTTTAGAATCAGGGAAAAATCCTTCTGCCGTACAAGTGTCTGTTGTAGAAGGTGATTGTGTTTGATAGGTAGGGACCGATGAAGTTGTAACAGGGGGAGCATAAGTCGTTGCTGGTTTTTTGGGGGGTTGCTGATTTAACGGTTTGATGGTTGTAGTTGGCTTTGAAATTGGTTTTGTAGTATCAGGTTTATTAGTTGTGATTATTGTTGGTTTTGTAGTCGCTTGAGTTGTTGGTTTAGAAGTTGAAGATGGTTGTGCTGGTTTTTTGGTTGTAGGTTTTGATGTGGTAGTCGTTGTAGTGACTTTTTGTGTGGTACTTGAGCTAACTGGTTTTTGAGTAGTTGGTTTTTGAGTGGTTGGCTTTTGAGTGGTTGGTTGTTGGGTGGTTGGTTTTTGAGTGGTTGGTTTTGGAGTAGTAGATTTTGGAGTGGTTGATGTTGTAGGTTTTTTTGTCGTAGAAATAGGTGTAGTTGGTTTTAATGTAGACTGCATTGGTGAAGTTGGTTTATTTCCAGAGTTATTCGTTTGTTGATTATTAGATCCACTACTAGATGTTTGTTGATTTGAACCAGCATTAGTTTGTTGAGATGATCCAGAATTAGTTTGTTGATTAGACCCTGCACTAGTTGTTTGTTGATTTAATCCAGAACTAGTAGTTTGTTGATTTGATCCAGCATTAGTAGTTTGTTGATTTGACTCTGCACTAGTTGTTTGTTGGTTAGATCCAGCACTAGTTGTTTGTTGATTAGCCCCAGCACTTGTTTGTTGGTTCGATCCAGCACTAGTTGTTTGTTGATTTAATCCAGAACTAGTAGTTTGTTGATTTAATCCAGAACTAGTAGTTTGTTGATTTGATCCAGCATTGGTAGTTTGTTGGTTAGATCCGGCACTAGTTGTTTGTTGGTTAGATCCGGCACTGGTTGCTTGTTGGTTTGATCCAGTACTAGAAGTTTGACTAGAAGCAGAGTTTGTAGCCTCTTGATTTGTACTTGCTGCCTGGTTCGTAAATTGATTCATGGCTGCTGTTGTTGCAGTATTTTGACCAGTCGAAAAAGAACCTTGAGATGCAGTTTGTTGGTTGTTTCCTCCGTTTGTTTGTCCAGCAATGATGGATGTAGAAGAGGATTGACCACTCGATGAACTACTGGAACTTGAACTTGAGCTTGATGTCATACTAGAACTGGAAGATGCTGAACTAGACCATTGGTTAGATGTAGTTATTTGTTGTGCTACGGTAGAATCCGATTGTATGGTGGAAGGTGTAGCTGACGTCGTCGTACCACAGTTAACTTGGTTAGCATGGTTACATGTATTTTGACTGCTATCCCATACAGTTCCTTCGCCGCATTCAAATTCATATTTTATGAAAGTCCCATCACCTTTGTCAACACATCTTATAAATTTTTTGCTGCAATCACCACTATATGGATGGAATCCTTCAGATACACAATTAGGTCCATTAGTATTAGTAATTTCTGGTTGATTATGTATTTCATTATCAATTTCATTTTCGGGTATTTCTGACGAAGACGGTTGATTATAGCCATCTCCTGGTTGAACAGGAGGTGAATAAGTCGATTGTGGTTGATTATAGTTGGGCTGTGATGTTGCAACTACTTGAGGTTGTACGTAGTTTGATTGTGGTTGTTGGTTATAATTAGGTTGTTGATTATAGCTTGGTTGTTGACTAGGTTCTATGTAACCTGATTGAGGGGGGTAATTATAATTGGCCTGTTGTGCTGGCTGGACGTTTGGTTGTACATAACCAGATTGTGGGGATTGGTTATAGTTTGGATTTTGTGTCGGTTGTGATGAAGCTGGGATGTAGCTAGATTGAGGCGGTCGTTGGATGTAACTTGGTTGCGACGGAGGTTGTATGAATCCTGATTGTTGAGGTGGGTAATAATTTGGAGGAGAATTTGTTTGGGGTGGGTTGTATGGAGCTGGTTGGTAACTTGGTTGTGGTTGTGGTTGAACGTATGCGGATTGTGGGGATTGATACCCAGTTTGAGGGCGTCCATAATCATAATTTGAAGAAGGCTGGTTTGAATATTCAGGAATGTTTGAACCATAACCTGAATTATTTGGTTTACTAGGGCTCAATTGATTTGGAGCACTGTTAGTTGGTGTATTCCATGAATTGGATTCCTCTGGGCTGGGTTCTGGTTCGGGGTTACTTAATTGTAAGTTTCTACATTCTTCTCTATTAGAAGAGGAAGGGTGTACACATACAGAGTTTTCTGGATCAAAAACAGTTCCTGGAGAACATTGGAACTTAAACTTGGTGTAGTATGTGCCAGCTCCAAAGTCGACACATCTGTAAAATGCCGTACAATCTAAAGGGTCAGGATGGAAACCTTCTGATTGACAGTTAAACGTTTCTTGTGTGGGATTTGTATTAGCTTTTGATTCTCTACTATTTACGCCTATAATAAATAATACGAAAAATAAATTTGGTTAATACTTGTACCTATACTAAAAAATATTAAAACATACCACTGGTACATTGGTAAATCATGCATGCTAACACGATGATGCGGCTCATCGAACCCGTCATGATTGCAGATGACTCGTCACGTGGTTATAATCTAATCTAATATATTCCTGAAAACAAAATAGTAATAAATAAAAACGAATGTGAACACTCTAAAGGATGCAATGACCGGAAAGCTATTCCAGCTGTAAAATATTGTCTAGTATTACATGTCACTGAAAACTATGAGATGCAGTTACAAATGTTTAACTGTATGAAAATAATACAGTGTATGTACGCAATACTCTAAAATAACGGAACCACAAACCGGTCGGGCCCGTAGAAATATGCGAATCTCCATGTAAAGGGAACATAACTCGAAATGAAAATCGCATAGATTGGTGATAAACGACACGCATTAAATTAATCGCCGATCCTATGTGAACCGGTAGTTGTGGTATGATAAATAACAGTTATCAGATTATTCTATAGAACTATACATATTCATTAATCGATATTGCGATCGCGGGACTATGTCTCGTGTACGAATATCTGATTGAGTAGCAGACCAACCGCAACTGTTTGTTATTTACTTAGAACTTCATAACGTAACATTTGATTTACAAACATAATAATTTAGGAGGTACACGCATATAGTGATATTATCAACGGTGTCCGATACCTAGTAGTTTTTTTTAAAAAATTGTATTTTGTATAAAAATTATTTTTAAATCGCACATGTATAAACACACCCAAGTTTTCACATCACTTTTTTACAAATTTGTTTGATCAATTGCACAATATTAAAATAGTAAATCTATTTGATAACCGATCCGTACTGGTAGCATCATTCATGTTGTTAACAATAATAATATTATTGTTTGTAATAAATAAAAAAAATTAAAATTCAGTAGATTCTTAAAAATAACTACATTCTAAATACGTCCGTAAAATAATATTTAGCACACTGTCGATGTGTATCTGAAAATGTGTTTTGTTATTATCAAATATGTTAGATAGCGGAGGCATACGGTGTTTGAATATAAAATAAGTTTTTATCAATTATAATAAACATGTGTAGGTATGAATATAAGAAATTAACACGGAAGTGGACGAGAAAGTATAAAGCTGGGGGAGGTGGGCATGATATTTCGTACGACCAGATCGTGTTTTATGAGGTCGAAGAGAGGAGGTCATGGTTGGCCGTTGACCGAAATGACTATGCAAATCGGACGTAGCGCCATCGGGCTAAGTAGTATGAGTCACACAATATGTGTTGTTACCGTTGTAAACAATACTGGTTTCATTTGTTCGACAATACCGTTTTCGAAAGGAAAGAAAGGAAGATTCAAAAGTGTCGCACATATATGTACGCGTTAAATGTAATCTGTATTCAGATATTATGATACACGTACATAAAATATATAGATCGATACTACAACGTAGGTACATTTCTATAACAATGAAAAATATTAAAAATTAAAAACAAAACATCCGGGAAAAAGACTATTGAGATATTTTATGAATCTAATGTACTCGATAATACAGTAATGGGAATCTAGTTATCATGTAACAGTTATAAAAACTCCGTTAAGATTTTGAACATAGATACATCAAACGTACCTAAGTGCAATACAATATTGATATAGTCGATTGAAAAATATTAGTAACTGAATACGATGTGCAGTCAAAAGGTAGATAAATCGAGTTAATTGTGTTTGCAGTACAATGATTGCGAAACGAATACATACGTTTTTTCTGTGCAAATTAACGTAGCAATGGGAAACGTGTCTATTTCCGTATGAATCTCTTATTCAAAACAATTATCGGTTAATATAATATACATATGATATATGCGAAGCAATAATTAAAAATTACAAACACGAATAATGTTGGGCTATTTATATTAGTTCTTCGGAGTCGAAATTTAACTGATACTGCTTATTATTATTTTGCAATCAAAGTCACGTTTGCTTACACACACGTAAACGCTGTCGATGTGCATGTACAATATGTAAACGGGTACGTGCGTATTGTTTTTGTGTGTCAATAGCTCGTGAACGGCATGTAACGATGATGTCATGGACGTCGTTCGGATTCATGTGAAAACTTAAATGGTGTGCGGATGACGCGATGACATTGTAGCAAATATAATAAGGATGATGATGATCCAGGTTCAAGGATTGGACACGCGCGTCGTGATCAAGGTCTAGCTGTGCGTTTTCAGCTCTTCGAATTGCTATATTATATTTATGATGTTACTCCTTTCTGCACGAAGAGGAAGCAATAGACAATGATTCAATTAATTGCTACACGCACGCAGATGGTTGTTATCACTTATTTGTCTGTGTGTAGAGTTATGATAAGGATTTTCCAAACAAGTGTGTGAGCTTATGCAGTGTCGTCATTTGATTGGGGGGGGGGGGGAAGGAAACTCATGTCTTTACCACAGTTCTAAAGTTTAGCTATTCCAAAGTCATCGAAGTATAAATACGTCTTTTATATAGCCATTAACATGTTGTGAATCGAAAAAAAAAGACGTGCACTATACCGGTACTTATGTATTAAGTACAAATAATGATATTTTTGAACTGGTTTGATGTCTACTCCCTTAAAGTTAATCGGCGCTTTGGTAAAATGAACCGCCGGATCGGCAATTTATTAAGAGCATGCCGACTGCTCTACTTCAAAAAAAATTGAAATTACGCCGCTGAGTATATGTGTTATGGTCGTAGAATTTTAACGAACTTATAACGAATTGTTGGTGGAAAATACTTAATAATATTTTTCTCGCTCTGAGCACTTGAGATTGAAAGATTTTAATTAATAAAACCAATACTATTTCGCGTATTATCTGCGTGAATAAAAATCGCAATTTTTTTTATATACTTATATACTTAAATGTGTTTGATAATGTCCATTAAATCGTATAAGGGGTTTAAAGTCGAATGCTATCAAGATCTCAATGGTTGTGTATTCCGCTACTAATCACAAAGATGGGAAATCCATTGATAAAAATCACTTCGAGTAAGTCAAGGCAGTGCTGAAACGGTAGACGAAGTTGAAATCGTGAACAAAGACGTTATTTCCGAACGTCTCGGTGTTGAAATCTCTGCTCGCGCTCATCGATCGATTGGGTACATCGTGTTCTATTTCCTGAACTTTTCGGACGTTTATAACGCGTTTCATTCCGGTAGAAATCCATTTACTAATCTCCTATATTTAAAACAGAAAATAAAACCGCTCGTATTTTTTCACTGCCAGTATGAAAATAAGTTTTACTGAAAAATGGAATTGCTTTTAATTTTGAAGTGTCTTTCATCTGTGATTGTTAGTATAATTTTTACTGTGAAATATATTGAAGCACGTTTACCCATGCTGTATCGTGTTGAAATACAGGAAACAAATAATTATATTTTCGAAATAATCTAAATCGGATTTGAAAGCAAGAGGTGTATTATAAGAAAAACGAAAAACTAGTGAACACGAATATAACGATAAGGAATATGGCAAGCGACGCGAAACCAATTGGAATTGATCATCATCGATCGGACTCTACTACCAATCGAACAAAACTGCGCTGTTACAGCAATGCGAGTAGGTATATAAACACGGCGAGGACTCGGTGCGTGAGTACGAGTCGAAGCAACCGGAAGACGATTGAACGTAACGTTCGTTTGTCGTATCATTATACGCGCGTTTCAGTCGAATACGAGTAATTATTAGCCGTTGTGGTACGCACTAGTATTTCGATGTCTCCGAGGCTATGCCTGGAGACGAACGCTGTTTCGCCGTGCGGGTTCATCGCGACATTGACATTGAAAGCCGGTCGTTCGCCGACGGATGACGACCGCACGCTTTACTTGAACACCGCGGTATGGGAAATCGTATAATATTATTATCGCATTACGTCGTCGCGATCCTTTGGCGCAACGCAAAACGGATATTAATCGCCGTGGCGGCGAGTGAATGACATTTTCGGGAAAATCGCCGCCAGTATGTACACATAACCTAACGGCCGGTGCGCGCATAACATTATTGTGCGGCGAAAAAGCAAACGGATCGGCCGCCGGCACCGGTTAATGAGGTTGTAGACCCGCGCTCGAACGAATTCATACGTACTGCTGTTATTGTTGTACGACTTGTTTGTAAGTGTGTTTTGGTCTACGCACCTTAAGGAGACGTACGTGAACGTGTGAATACGCACCTGTGCGAGTTTACGTATTGCGCGTATTGCGTTCGTAAGCGTTTCGCTGTGATGTTGCACGGCAGTTTCAGTCGCCTCGAGATCACCCAAAAAATCGGTGTCAAGTTTGGTCGAAGACGGTTACTGCTACGATAAAATATATGCACGACAGCAGATCATGGACAACAGATTCTAACAGTTCCCAGATGGGATTGCATATTTTTTGGGTCCGCTCGTCCGTGCGGGAGTGATCGAAAACTCGATTCAAAGCGAAACCCTTTCCCGTAGCACATCATAAGTGTCTTTCAATCGCAGCTGGCGAAACGTGTACGCGAACAGATGTATGTACGTCATGATGTGTTTTGCGAACGCGTGATTTGTTCTTTTTCGACCAGAAAATAATAATAATCGAAGCCGTCGGTTGATTTTTAAATGTGCGGCGAACGGAGAACTGAAAAACAACGTCGGCAGACGGATATTAGCGTAGTTAGCGTAAAGAGTGTCCGTCTCTCGATTATCATATTATCATAAGATCGAAACGATTTGCCGAACGTTTACGACTGTAACAATCCACCGAGTGCGCGAACCAATTGATTGGCAACAATAGTGGTGGTTATTTTTTCGGTCGGCATTGCGTACGCAATATTTTTTTTTTTCCGTTTCCTCGTCTAATTGATGCATTCTTAATCCTTAGCGTTCATCAGGTTTCATCCGTATTCCATGTCGCGTGTTTTACATAGTACTATGTAAGTTATAGCGATTTATAGTGCTTTAATTTGACGTGATCGTGGCCGTTCACGGAAATCGGAATGCATGCTATTAGGAGATCTTTCGTGTAAATCAATACCACCTAGACTTGTGTGTACGGCGAGAGTCCGTTATCATATGAATAAATTATTAATTGTTTCCAAAAGTGAATACGTATAATTTATGATAATCGATTAG